GTGTCATAGGAGTGTCCTGTATCGTGGGAGTGTCCTGTGTCGTAGGAGTGTCCTATTGGTGTCCTGTGTCATAGGAGTGTCCTGTGTCGTAGGAGTGTCCTGTATCGTTGGAGTGTCCTGTGTCGTAGGAGTGTCCTATTGGTGTGTCCTGTATCATGGGAGTGTCCTGTGCCGTAGGAGTGTCCTGTGTCGTAGGAGTGTCCTGTGTCGTAGGAGTGTCCTGTGTCGTAGGAGTGTCCTGTGTCATAGCAGTGTCCTGTGTCGTAGGAGTGTCCTGTATCGTGGGAGTGTCCTGTGTCGTAGGAGTGTCCTATTGGTGTCCTGTGTCATAGGAGTGTCCTGTGTCGTAGGAGTGTCCTGTATCGTGGGAGTGTCCTGTGTCGTAGGAGTGTCCTATTGGTGTGTCCTGTATCATGGGAGTGTCCTGTGCCGTAGGAGTGTCCTGTGTCGTAGGAGTGTCCTGTGTCGTAGGAGTGTCCTATTGGTGTCCTGTGTCATAGGAGTGTCCTGTGTCGTAGGAGTGTCCTGTGTCGTAGGAGTGTCCTGTGTCGTAGGAGTGTCCTGTGTCATAGCAGTGTCCTGTGTCGTAGGAGTGTCCTGTGTCATAGCAGTGTCCTGTGTCGTAGGAGTGTCCTGTGTCATAGCAGTGTCCTGTGTCGTAGGAGTGTCCTGTGGACACGCGTGGATGACACCTGCAGTCTGTTGTTTGTATTGTTCATTTTTTGTATTGTCTGTTGTTTGTATTGTCTGTTGTTTGTATTGTTCATTGTTTGTATTGTCTGTTGTTTGTATTGTCTGTTGTTTGTATTGCTCATTGTTTGTATTGTCTGTTGTTTGTATTGTTCATTGTTTGTATTGTCTGTTGTTTGTATTGTCTGTTGTTTGTATTGTCTGTTGTTTGTATTGCTCATTGTTTGTATTGTCTGTTGTTTGTATTGTCTGTTGTTTGTATTGTCTGTTGTTTGTATTGCTCATTGTTTGTATTGTCTGTTGTTTGTATTGTTCATTGTTTGTATTGTCTGTTGTTTGTATTGTCTGTTGTTTGTATTGTCTGTTGTTTGTATTGCTCATTGTTTGTATTGTCTGTTGTTTGTATTGTTCATTGTTTGTATTGTCTGTTGTTTGTATTGTCTGTTGTTTGTATTGTTCATTGTTTGTATTGTCTGTTGTTTGTATTGTCTGTTGTTTGTATTGTCTGTTTGTATTGTTCCTTGTTTGTATTGTCTGTTGTTTGTATTGTCTGTTGTTTGTATTGTTCGTTGCTTGCAACTGGCAGACCTCATGCCCCGACTTGGACATCTGTGACAAAGAGCTTCCCAGCTCATCAGATTCTTCCTACTGCAGTTTAAATAAAGATTCAGATTCGATTAAAGGTAAAAGTTCCCAGTGTAGCATCTAGCAGACTGTTGGGGAAAGTGCGAGTATCAGCGAGCACCACGCCCGGCCGCCTTTGTCTCCCCGATGTTCACTACGCACCGCCGCCACCAGGTACTCATTTGAGGCCGAGTCGACCTAGGGGAGGCGCCAGGACCGGTTCAGGTCATCGCTGGCGGTGGCATCGAACTCGGGTCGAAGGCTGCTAACCATTACACTACCGCTCCCCACTACGCACACACACACACACGCACACACGCACGCGTACACACGCGCACACACACACACACACGTGTACATGCACGCACGCACGCACGTACACACGCACGCGTACACACGTATACACCCGCATACACACGTACACACGCACGCGTACACACCCGCATACACACGTGCACACGTACACACACCCGTGTACACACACACACACACGCGCACACACCCGTGTACACAGACACGTACACACACACACACACACGTACACGCACACGTACACACACACGCACACGTACACACACACGTACACACACACGTACACGCACACACACACGTACACACACACACGTACACACACACACACGCGCGCGCGTGCACGCACAATCACCTGCGCACGCGCGCGCAGGCACACGGTAACTTTTGTGGCACAAGCATTGGCAGCGCCATCACACGCGGTCGTCTCGCGAGAGGTCACGCCGAGGTCACGCCGAGGTCACGCTGACCCACCCCCCCCCCCCCCTTAAAACCCCCCTCCACCCCCCCCCCCCCCCCCCGGGTCACGCCGGTGACCCCACGTGGCCCGGTGTGTGGGGTCAGATTTTGACCCACTGACCCGAACCGCACAACACACACACACCAAACACCACAGATAAAAGCTCCCCCCGTGTAGCCTGTAACAGGCTGTAGGGGGGCAAGTGCTGTTAGCGAGTAGCAGCAGCAGCACCGCCTGTGAAGGCTACCGGCACTGTGGCACACACACAGAGGGGGTGGGTGGCCAGCAACCACCACCACCACCACCACCACCACGCCCGGCCGCCTTTGTCTCCCCCAGCGGCGCTGTTTACTACACACCGCCACCGGGTACTCGGTTGAGGCCGAGTCGACCTAGAAGAGGCCCAGCACCCCGGTTCGGATAGCCGCCACCGGCGGTGTTGGCCGTGAGCGGAACTGGAACCCGGGTCGCCGGGGTTTGTCGCGCGAGCCTAGCGCGCTAACCGCTGCACCACCGCTCCCCATGCCCCCCCCCCCGCCCCCCCCGCCCCCCGCACGCACGCACGTGCCCAGGGGGGTCAAGAGAAGTGACCCCCCCCCCCCCCACCTAGGCTGGGTCACGCTGGGTCACTCGGTCATCTCCGGGGATTGGCACGGGCCCCGGGGCAAGTGCCGTTATAGTAGCGGCGGCTTCGAAGGCCCCCCCGGGCAAAGCTGCGGACGCACGACCCGGGGTGGGGATGGGTGGGTGGGTGGGACGAGGGCTACACCCACGTGGGCCCGGCCCCACCCCCTGTCTCCCAGCCAATCGGGTTACGGCTCACTCGAGGCCGAGTCGACCTAGGGGAGGACGGGGAATCGAGCTCGGGGGCCACTGGCGGTTTTCGCCGCCGCCGCTCCCGGAGGCGAAGGGAGAAAAAAAAAAAATTTAATCTGCGATTACGGAATGCCTCGGAATGGCGAAATGGAACGGCGGGAATATTTCCGAGTTTTTTGGGGGTTTTTTTCGGAATGCCGCGAACGGAGAGACGCCTTCGGAACGTCAGGACATGTACACGGAATGTTCCGGGGAAATGGTGACAGGAATGTGCGGATACAAGGCATGTTGTGGCATCTCCCGATATTACGGAATGTTAGAATCTCCCGATATGACGGAATGTTAGAATCTCCCGATATACGGAATGTCAGATTCAAGGGAATGGGGAATTGTCGGAATCGCCGGATGGACAGAAGAGCGGAACCTTAGGCTGCCCGAAGAGGATCGGAATGTGCGGATATAGGGAATGTTGGAATCTCCAGATATGGGGAATGTTGGGCTGATCTCGTCCTGTTCTAAGGAACGTCAGAATATCGCACGGGTATGTCAGAGCCCCGAGAAGGGAACGCCGGGGGTGCACTGGGCGCAACGTGGGAATTCCGGACGGAATGTCGGAATTCCGAACGGAATGTCGGAATTCTGGACGGAATTTTTCGGATCCCGGATGGAATGTTGGATCCCCCAACAGACAGAATCTCAGAATCCCGGACGGAATATCAGAATCCCGGGCGGAATGTCGAAATCCCAGACGGAATGTTGGATCCCCAAATGGATGGGATGTCGGAATCCCGGACGGAATGTCGAAATCCCAGACGGAATGTTGGATCCCCAAATGGATGGGATGTCGGAATCCCGGACGGAATGTCGAAATCCCAGACGGAATGTTGGATCCCCAAATGGATGGGATGTCGGAATCCCGGACGGAATAATGGGATCCCAGACGAACTGTCGGTACCCTGGACGGAATGTTGGATCCCCAAATGGATGGAATCTGGGAATCCTGGACGGAATCTCAAAAAACCCCCAACAGAATGTCGAGATCCCAGATGGAATGCTGGATCCCCAATAAATGGAATGTCGGAATCTCGGGTGGGAATGTCGGAATTCTAAAAGGAATGTCGGAATCCCAGACGGAATGTCGGAATCTCGGACGGAATGTCGGAATTCTGGAAGGAATGTCGGAATTCCGGACGGAACGTCCGCTTCTCTGGGAAGAGGAGAAATTCTAGGCCCC